GTTTTTAATGTAAACTCCATCTTGGTAAAATACAGTTTTAATATCAGGAATTATTAATCCTGATATACCCATAAAAATTAAGTAGAAACTCCTGATTGATAGATTAATATGTTATAGTATGTATACACCTGAAACTAAGATTCTTCCAAAAAACTTCATTGTTAATAACTTGTTTATGCTAGTACTTGCTGAGATCTTCTTCCCTTTCTAACTTTACATGTGAATATTATGATTCAGTGAACCTCAGCAACATCACTTCTAAAATATGGGATGAATTACCATTCCTCATATACAATGAAGAGATGTCTCTCTACTGATGCCTACTGGTCTCAAGTGCTTAATCATACGTGAAGGTTTTGTCTTTAGACATTAGTATTCAATCCCACATTTAAACCAACTACCATTACCATTACTTTGTCACCGCCAACATCCAAAAGCAACCATTTCTACAATGATGGCTCATTTTCCTTAACCACACAGTTACCACTCATCACATCCACTTTAACATCCATCAGCAACCGACAACAATAGGACATGCACTGCCCTCCGTGAACTCTCAGTGCACATGCGCCTGTGAAAGTCGACCAACACAGAGAGACATACGCTGAACAGTTCTCAATAGCCTACCCCCCCAAAAACAGAAATTATGGCCCCACTTTTATGACCTTCCCTCAAAAAACTCATTCTGAAAAGAAAGGTATTCAAACTCAGCAGTTCTAGGTGATTTTATATATATTAACTAAATCATCATTACACTAAAATGTAAATTAGTGGTGTCCTAAATTCCTAAAGTGCCTAAAATGTTTGTAACAAATAGATGTTCCAATAAACATACAAATTTTTCACAAGAGAAAGTTTCTCAATCTCCCCTCGGTAAGTTAGCTGACTTTTCTTTATGCTTCCTGTTCGCAATCTTCTGCCTGATCAAGTATTCAAGTACTCTGCCTAATTTTACTAGTTTTTGCCATGGCTTTCATATACTTTTTCATATTATGTCCATACACTGAAAACAATTCCTTTGGAAATACTATTTTACTGACCTTAAATCATCTCTCACTTATTTTACCCATTTCAGATGATTAAAAGGCATTTGACTTTATTTTCAGGCTTCCTTTATATTGAACATTACTCTTTACATAACACTTAATAATTTAATCCTTGTAGCATGACAGAGAGTAAACTCTCTTAATAGTGGATGCTTAAGTCCACTGCTCACCTTTTGCTCACTCTATTGTTATTTATAACACCAGTGATGATAACATATGAGACAAAGTAAAAGCTTTCCCAACCAAAGACAGCCTTGATACCAAAGTCAAATATATTTAATTTACACCAAAAATCCTCTAAAACTGCATGAAAATTACAGTACAATCATTCAGAATTTTGTAGAAATTTCATTTTAACTTCAAAACTATCAATAAATTATAAAATATGCATCAGCACTCATGCCATACTATAAAATTCATAATAAATGTAAAGTTTTAACTATAGTTATATAATTTAGGTGAATATATCTTAATATACATAGTTATTTTTCTACCATATATACCATGTACAAAGTCTCTTACGCAAACACTGAATTATTACACGGAGTTTCAAGAAAAGAGTCTACCTAAGCCCACTATAACTGCTATTTTCACAACCCAAAGCAACCATAACTCTCAGAATCCAAGAACTTCAACCTAAGGAGGAGGCTGTTTCTTTTTGTTCTTTCTGTTTCTTTTTAAAAAGGATAGTTTCTATCCTTTTTAAAAAAAAGACTAAAAAGATTATGAAGTTATAAAAAATTTATAGATCAAAAATCGATTTTTCAGAGGAAAAGCTTCGTAAGATTCTTTTATTAATATTTTAATATACAATCTCTAAAATATTTAAGCCTGCCTAAAAGCTGAAGGAGGAACTATAGTGACATAAGGTTTTACTGTTTTGCTTTATTAAAAATGGTCAGAAAATAACTGCCTCCAAATGCTTTAATTTTTTTAACAATTAAATGATACAAGAAAATCAAAGTACAGTAAATATGATACTTTGAAATCATCCTCAAGAATATAATAGGAGAGCAAAATTTATAAGTCTATGTGTTCTGGGAGTTCAATCATCTTCTTAAGGCTTCACTTATTATGTACTTTAAGGAAATTAGTCCATCATCTCTCATTTGTGTTATATTTTTCTCAGTTTATCATGTCTTTTTAACTATATTTAAAGTATTTCTTGCCATACATACAGAAGTCAATAAAACCTACATATAAATACCCTCCTACTGGATAACTGTTTCATTGTAAGTTACACAAATTGAAAATAAAGTTAATCTGAAAGAAAAAATGTCCAGAGAAAAATATAAAAAATAAAGTTTATTAAGGAAAAACTTGCTATGATAATTTAAAAGTGTAGTTTTTCAGAAAACACAGACATATCAAAGAACATAATACAAAATCCAATCACAGAGTCATGTACATATAGCACCTTGCTTATGGTATTTTGGACTTATTTTATGTTCCTATCTGATCTACCCCTTTCATCTCTGAGCTTTTGTTAGTGATGCTATTTTTGCTTTTCATCTTTCATAACATTTAAATTGTAGTCCAGAACCATAATTTCCACACTTAGTCACAGTCCTACAGGTGTGTGTATGAGAGAGGGAGAGAAGGAGAGAGGGGGAGAGAGAGCGAGAGAGCTGCCTTCTCCACCACCTCGCCCATTCCCACTCTAGGCCAAGCTACCACCATCCCTCCCCTGGGTTACTGTAGGCCTCCCAGCTTCCACTCATGCGACCTATGGTTCCAGAGACAGCTGCTACCACGATCTTCTTAAACTGAAGTCACAGCATGTAACTCTTCTGCTCAAAACCCTCCACCTGCTTTCTCTCTCATATAGGTTAAGCTCCATAGCCTATAAGGTTCTATTTGAGCTTGATTCTGAACATCCTTCTGATCTCATCTCCTACCACTATACTCTATTCATCCTGTTGCTGCCACATGGACCTCTTAGTTGTTTTTCAGACATGGCCCTGACAACTAAGTGCTTTTGCATTTTTTTCCTCTCTGGCTAGAACACTCTTCCCTTAGATACCTATATGGCTGACTCCCACACTGAACTCAGTGCCCTGGCCAAATGTTAGTCAAAGAGGCGAGCCTTCCCTGACCATCATGTCCAAAGTAGCATCCCACCATGCCTGCCTAGCTCTGTCTCGTTATCTATGTTTCCTCTTCACACTTATTGCTCCCACCTGCAGAAAATCTTTGTTTTCTGTCCATTCCACCCCCTGGAATGTACTCCATGAAGACAGGTTTTTTTGTCTTATTCACTGCCATGTTATTTTTATAAAGTAGTAATATTTACAGATTTCTTTCTTTACAGGTTCTACCTTATGTAACTTCTTGGAAAAAATCTTCTCTACTCCAAAGTTTTCAGTAAACACTTTCAAACAACATGAAGACTACTTTACTAAACGTGGGCTATATAAAAATTATGCCTTTTCATTACATAGCATTACTAATTTTTACAAACAAATCATTTCTCACACCTAAAATCCAATTCCTTAATAACACTTACATGTCTAAGAAGTAATTCTAGAAGCCAGTTTAGAAGTTCTACTGATGAGTTTTTTCTTTGTTCCTTCAATAACTTATTTAAAAAATGTATGATATCTATTAGCAGTTTCTCATCTTCAGTGCAAGCAGGAAGCACCTGTAAAAACCTGCAATTAAAAAGACAATTATCATGGTTTCTAGCTCTTTACAGTAAGTGGTGTGCTGATAAATATTTAACAACCAGGCAAGGAGTGGGAGGATTTCTTGTGTTTGCCAATTTTCATAGTGTAAATATGCCCCCATTGCTGACTGCAAGCCACCAACATAACACACAGAGAGACAACACAGCAGTACACCATTGTGTGGCCTTTTCACAACACAGACATAACAGGTATGAATCACCTCAAGAACACAGGTATCAGTAACATGTTGTAAAATAATCAGCAAGTGATGATATTTGCATAATCATTACTTTTATTTTTCTTAGAATTTAACTGTAAGTTTATGTAATTTCATTTTTAAGAATGGCTGTGTTTTAACAACTAACTTACAAAAACCCTGATGCTCAACTGCCACCTCTCTCATAAGGAGGTACTGGCTGATTCCAACACACACCAGTGGAAAAGCCAAATTAGATATCTGAATTGTGAGAGATCCATTTTGAGTCCCCATTTCAGAAATTCACTTAACCTCACACTTTGAAAATTGCACACATTATGTTTAATAGAAAGTTATACATCTTACGCTAAATTCACATGAAGATTAAAATGGAAAGCTACTGTCAATGGCTGCTTGTCCGTCTTGTCTCAGATGCAGCCATCTGCTACCAGTGAAACATGTGCAATTTACGAGCTAGAGGCTTCCCAATAACTACTAAAGAATCGCCACACGCGGCAATCAACTTCATGAAATTCAGGGTAAAAAGAAAAGTAGGAGAATTTTCTTAAGAATAAAAAAAAAGCAAAACAAAACAAAACAGCCCACTGCAGGTGTACCAAACTTCTCAGTCGATTCACTGATGTTTTGGCTCTCTTACAATGTGGACAGCAATAAACATTCATTTTGTTCAACCATGTCTTATCCTAATCATCTCCTTTTGTGAGATAGTGAAATAAAATTTTCTGATAGGATATAAAAACTGTGTTGTTTATTATGAATTCCAAAATGCAGTGATTTAAGAAAATTTTTCTCTTTCGCTATTATTTACTACACATAATGAAATTCCCAGTTTTTCTTATTGAAAAAAAACATTTCTCTAACGATAGCAACAAGAATACATGCTGTTATCTTCAAAGATACGGAGACAGACCCAAATACGATTCAATCCTGCTCTTTGAAACTGGAAGCCCTGAGCTGTATATACTGACCTGTTCAGTGTGGTGTGCCAAGACAAGCACTTCAAGGTAACCCCACATGGGCCAGCACCACCCTTTAAAGACAGCCTGTCATTCAGAAGATAAAAACTCATGTTCGTGATAGCAGCCCTCACTTCCCTGTGAGCTGCAGCCTCGACAATGGAACGAAGACAGTCCCTCAGTGCACTAGCTGTGTGTGTCATCTGCAGAGCAAGGGTGTCCTCTGTGCATAACTTCAATGCATCTGAAAATCTAAACAAAAAGAAACAAAGGAAGAGCAACATAAAACTATTTGAATAAAAGCTCACATTTAGGTTTATTATAAACTCTCTCCAAAAAATTGTTTTATCTTCATTTTAAAGGCTGACTCAGGGCCAAAAGAAAATCTGGTATGTATCTGTCAATTAGAGTTTTATGTTAGCATTCTGAGTGTTTGTATTGACATTTTCCTGCTCACAGAAATATAACTTTCATTCAAACAAGAAAGCAATGATAGGTCAGAATATTAGGATATTCCAAAGTAATCTTCATCATCATCACAGTAATGATAACATTTATATATATATATATACTTACTGAACTTTGACTCTAATCCAGACTACTTTCCCTAGAGATTTATATCCATTAACTAACCAAACCTGAGGTGCCTGGGTAGCTCAGTTGATTAAGGTCTGACTCTTGGTTTCAGCTAAGTTCATGATTTCACGGTCGTGAGATCGAGCCCTGTGTCAGGATCTGTGCTGGGTATGGAGCCTGCCTAAGATTCTCTCTCTGCCTCTCCTTCTGCACCTCCCTGCCCTCCAGCCCCCACTCCCGCTCGTGTGTGTGCACTCTCTGAAAAAAAATAAAAATTTTAAAAATAATAATCAAACTTTATATAATCTCTAAAACAGCATAAAGCATATGCTTTTAAATTTAAATTTCCTTGTGTCATGGAACACTACATCAAAAACTAATGACGTAATGTATGGTGATTAACATAACATAATAAAAAAAATTTCCTTGTGTGATGGTTTCTAAAAAGTAATGAACACATGTAATTTTTAAAACAAAGTAAAAATTATAATCATCAGTGGAAAAAGAGGATCAGATGGTAGCAAGTAAAAAAGCCACTTGACCTAAAGGAAGAATAAAACCAAACTAGTTACTTATAATTTGTTAAATATGAACACTTTTTCAACTAAACATAACAGCTTACTCTTGGATTTGAGGTTCAGAATTCAGGTGCTTCAACAGATTATCACTCCCATGATACCAGGACAAGTTCCAAGCTATTCTCAGCATGTCTGAGACCGGCTTCAAGGACAAGCAATCAGCAGATAATGGCAAAACTATGGAGTAAGGACTCACAGCATGGTGGCCAACTACACGCACTGGTAGATGATACCTAAAGAAAATGTATACAAATGATTATGAACTTTGAAATTCTTGAACACTACTATAAAAGGATGGAGCTATAAATGAGGGCTAGTTCTCACAGTAACACGGAGACCACTCTCGTAGCCCCTATTCTGAAGTTATCACGCTGTACATATTATTTCATTTATTCTTTTGCCATCCTCTAAACTCCCCAAAATATTTTAAACTCTTGCATGAAGACTTCCTTCTTCTGTGTTGTATTAGAGTTGTTAGCAGAGATGACTAATACCCCTTGAGGTCAAGGCCTGCAGCTACAGTGAGTCACACATAAAGGGTTTCAGCTAGAACATGAGCACCTACTTTACGCCAAACGCTATATATCATCCACCATTCATTCAGTTCCATGCATGGCACTGATACCCATTTTACAGATAATCAAAATGAGTATTAAAGAGACTAAATGAATTGCCTTATGTTCACAGGAATCACTAAGTGACAAAATCACAACCTAATATTTTTACTTGAACACAGCTGCATCATCAATAAACTCAACCACTAGTGTCACCAAGAAGACCCAGAAATATTTCTAGATATAAGAACAGATACGACAGCAACAGCTCTTAAACCAGTCCAAGTTTAACAGTGTTTTACAGGACAGTAACGTCTAGCATGTTCAACTGTTAAAAAATAATTTTGATAAAAAAACATATTCCAAAGCCCTAATTCACATATTTGTGACTAATATTAAATAAATACAATTGGGTAAGATTCCTCAGGGGAACTTTACTGTGCTTTTTCATTTCACGTGTCTCAATAAATAAGCTAAGGGAGAGTTCTACATGTAAATCAGGCTGAATAGTTTAAGAAAATAATCTTAAAAATCGAAATTTTCCACAAAAGTAACCCAGAATCCTTAGATAAATGGCTAACACTAGGTCTCAGATAGGGAAATAAAAGGTGATTCTTGGATATTTCTCTGTACTAAAACACAAGAAAATACTAACAGACTTGTGGGGCCTTGACAAAAGGACACAGAGCCCACTTGAAAGGACTCGCACTGAATAAAAAAAGGCAAGGCAACTGATCAATGGGGAATTCTTTAGTAAGTTAGAAAATGAACTGCAAATTAAGCCTAAAGAACAAGAAGGAAGAAAGGAATGAAAAGTGCAGGGTAATACATCATAGCCAGTTTGAAAAAACACTACACATCCACCAGACGGGCAACAATTTTTAAAATAACATTACCGTGAGTAAAGGAATAACAAAACCCTTAGGGGTTCTTCTCTATGGACAAAGTTTATCTTGAGCGAATTCTGGCCCTTTGCCCCAGGACAACCAAGTAGATATGGAATGTCAACAATATTACTAAGCTGCTGTTTGTGCTTACGGTAAAAATGACTCTCACCTCTGGGCTGGGAGGTGTGGGAATAAACCGTAAATGCATGATGGGAAGCCACGGCCCTGAGCAACCCTTAGTGCTGTGGCTCTTACACGTAACATGTTTTGTGGGGTCCTGGAAACTATGCCTATGGCACCCTTACCTCAAGAACTTATTTCCTACCAGCACATGGGTCTTCTAAGCCAAGACAGCTCCCAGCACCCACACATGTAATCTCATTCCAAGCAAGGCCTATTTTAAGTCATGTGAGTTTGATTACTTAGCCAAATCTAAAGACCATGAAGAGTGGGTGATGTCTACAAACAAGGAATTTCACTCTGAACAATATATTTAAAAGGAACTCTTACACACTATACCAGGAAACATACATGTTTATAGGAGTGGATACAGGAACAAAAACCAAGAATCAACCCTAATACCTTCTGACTGGAGAATGAACAAATTGTGGTAAATAAATACAACAAAAGAATATTATACAGCAAGGAAAATGATCACAGTACATGTAATAAGACCTACCAAATTATGGAATGTTATTTATAAATTAATCATAGTTTTATTAAGACAAATCTACTTATCTTTAAAATTCACAGATTTTCTATTTATATATAGCCTGAAGAATTTTTACTTTTGCATTCATTTGTATGACCATCACTCAGAATAAACTACAGAACATTTCTATCCCTTCGGAAAGTTTCTTTGTTCCCTTTTCATGTCAATTACTCCCCTTGCTCTCCTCCAAGAGTAATTACTATTTTGGATATAACTGGAGAAATTGGATCACGTTACAGAATGATTTTTAATTTTCTTAGATGTGATCATGCATAGTACAGTGGTTATATAGGAGAGTGTCCTTCATTTAAGGAGGTACATGCTGGAAAAATTAGGAGGGAAGTAAAATTATATCTGAAACTTATTTTCAAATGCATCAGAGAAAAATCACATATAAATAAATATGTTGAGAGAGTAAGCACACGTTCACTGTATAGTTCTTCCAACTTTTCTGTACACCTGAACCATATCCAGTTGGAAAGATGGGGATGGGGACATGCATTTACTGAACTCTCCGAAGCATCACTGTGAGGAAACATTAAAACACTACAAGTCATGTGATTTAAATACCAGATGAACCTTCCTGAAACAGCTTACCTTCAAAAAAAGTCAAAACAATAAATCATTTACCTTCTAAAAACTGAGACAGGCAAACTGAAGACCGATGGTGAAGGTTTATTGGAAGGATTAACAGACCTATTTCATTAAAAACACACATACACAAAAGGAAAAGAAACAAATGAGTAAACCATGGTTTTATCCAACAAATATAATTTGCTCCTTGACTGAATCTCCAAATAAGAGTTGCAATTGGCTCTATCATTTGTATAGTTACAACACGTTTTCTACTACCTAGATTTGCTTCTAAAGAGCAAACTAATGCTTAAGAAGTCCATATAATAAATTACTCATTTAATGTGGGCACTGTACTGGCAGGTGAATCTGTGTCCCCCTCCCACTGGATCCTGCTCAAGGTCATTGTTAATCAGATATTACCATCCTAAACATCTTCCCAAAGGTTTTTAATAAAATATTAAAGAAAAGTATACACTGAAAAATGTATTAATGACAAAAATTACTGCAGTAATTTTTTAATTTTATGCTTAGTAATGTTCAAATTAAAAGTTCATGGGAGGGACGCCTGGGTGTTTCAGTCCTGCATCAGGCTCCTTGCTCAGCCGGCAGCCTGCTTCTCCCTCTGCCTCTCCCCCTCCTTGTGCTCTCTCTCTCTCTGATAAATAAATAAACAAACAAACAAACAATAAATAAGTTCATGGGACTTTCTGAGCCAATAGGCTCTTTGATACTGCTTACTCAAACCAAAATGGAAAGCATAAGCTTCATAATTCAGAAATTTTCCATGCATTGCTACAAGATTGCATCAGAAATCTTAAATAATTAAGAGTTAAAAAAGTTTTACAATCCTTATAGCTCACCACGTATCCATTCTTGATACTTCATCAAATAACAGAAGACAAAATAATGCTCCGACTTCAGTCACAACAGCACAATTTTCATGAAATATCAACGAAACTAAGATATAAAAAGAAGCATAACTTCATGAAATATTTACCTCTAGAAAAATGAACTTCAAGTTTAAAATGTCTTAACTCCAAGGGAAGAGATGTCATTCTCAGAGAATTGCAACAAGAACCCAGAAACACTGACATATGTGGATCGTCAGGAGGGCTTGTTAAAACAGAGTTTCTGCTTCAGCAGGTTTGGGCTGGAGCCTGTGAATCTCACAGGCTGCCCGTCCAGGAAATGCACCTGCCAATCCACTCACTAGATACTGTGTACTTTCAGTTTCTCAAAAAAGCAAAGTGATGTAGCTTCTAGGGAGGTCTGCCAAGTCCTTTACCTCCAGCTAAAGTTTGCTCATTCAGAGATCTCCTTATTTGATCATTTCTGCCCATTCCTACATACAGTCATAGAACTTGACTTTGCCTTCAAAACACCGTGTTTGTGTTGGTGTTGTTTTAATTCATGTGTCTTGTTCATTACAAGATAATGGAAAAGGAAACTGCTCTGAACTAATAAGACCTAAAGCTAGCACCGTCACGAACTAGTAGTAAAGTGGCCTGGTCAAATACTGTAGCATTAATAAGCCTTAGTTTCCACCTCTGTACCATTCCTAATGCTACAACTTCTCAGTGCTTGATAACTATGAAATTCTAATCAAAGATGTATGGTGGTGATACCAATCACACAGGAATAATAACACAATACAGAGTTAGCAAATCCAGGAAAGTAGCAAGAAGAAATTAATTTCAAAAGAAGATACTTTTCCTAACCTTAAGAAAAGGATAATATCAACATGTAATTGACATGATTAAAAACAGCAATGAGGGCGCCTGGATGGCTCAGTTGTTAAGCGTCTGCCTTCGGCTCAGGTCATGGTCCCAGGGTCCTGGGATCGAGCCCCACATCAGGCTCCCTGCTCAGCGGGAAGCCTGCTTCTCCCTCTCCCACTCCCCCTGCTTGTGTTCCCTCTCTTGCTGTCTCTCTCTCTCTGTTGAAAAATAAATAAAATCTTTAAAAAAAAAAAAACATCAATGAGCTAAAAAGAAACAGAAATACATGTAAGGATCTAACTTATGATAAAGTAGACACTTCATATCAGTGTGAGTAGGATGAGCTATCATATTTCCAAGTACCTAAGAAATTATTGCAATGTAACTGCCTACAATATGATTTAGATCCCTACCTTACACTATTTATCAAAATCAGTTCTACATAAAGATCTAAATTTTTTGAACAACACTATAAACATGTTAAGAGAAAGAATGGAAGCCTATTTAGAATCCTGAATTCAGAACTGGAGAAGGCCCTCCTTTTAGAGCATGATGGAAACCTCAGTTGCTACAATAGAAAAGCTTTATATACTTCCATAAAATACTTAAAGCTAAAGATATAATAATAAATACAGTAAAAAGGATACAAAGGTTGGAAGAAAATCAACATAAAATCAGACATAAGGTTTATGTTATATAAAGAAACTCTACAAGTCACTAAAAAAAAAGTAAAAGCAAGAGAAAAATAGGCAATTCATAGAATAAGAAATTTGAATAAATACAAGAAAAAATAATCACCTGCACTAAAAATGTTTTAAAAATAAAAAATGAGATATTAATTTCACCAATAATATTAAAGAACTTTTTTAAAAGAGACACATTCGGTGTTAGCAAGGTTATGAGGAAAATAAGCACTTTTAAATACCACTGGTGGGAATGATGTGGAGAGGAACCTAACCATATCCTGTAAAATCTCTCTGACCCACCAATTCCAATTACAGAGTATGCACAAGATGATCATAAAACATGGTTACTATTATAGTTAAATCTGAGAGAAATATTAATATGGCAAACTGAAACTCTGAAACACTATGCAGTAGTTTTCTGATTTTGTGTTTTTTAAGAAGGCAGACTCACATGTAATAACATGGAAAGATATTCAAAAATACACTGTCATTTGAAAAAAAGCAACACAATACTTAAGTATAAAGCATAAAAAATACAACATGAGTGTAAAGAAAAGATCATTCTAAGTGATATATGCCAAGCAATACCTAGCACATTCTTCTTTGGGGAAACTGAGAAAGAAAAGAAAATTTAAAAAATTTCTGGCGTTTTACTTTCTATTGTTCCATACTGTTCAAATTTTTACAATAAGGATGTAGAAGTTCTGCAATTATTTGAAACAAAAACAAATCAACAAAGGTAAGGAAGTTTGGGTTCTTCTCTTGCCTCCACCGTTATCTGATTATGACCTTGACCAAGTCGATAAATCTCTCTAGATCTCAATTTCCTCACTGTAAAATGCTGTAATAAATGGGTTCTAAGTTAAATTCTCACCATGCAATTCTGTCAGGGTAGGATTCTGTCATGACATAAAATTTATAATAAAAGCAGTGTGTCTGGCAGATTCCTTGTTACTCCCTTTCAATCTATTCTCCATGCTGTGGATAGAATAATCTTTCTAAAACACATAACCCTCAGTGTAATAATCTTAAATGGCTTCTCAGTGCCGTTTCCCGTGACCTACCAGGCCCTGCATGAACTGCCCTCCGTACCTCATCTCATCTTCCCCGCACCCCAGAAACCCCCAAAATCCAGTCATTCCTGACCAACCACCATTTCAAACACACGTTCTCTCTCACACATAACCTCTCGCACACATAACCGTGACTCCCTCTACCTGGAAATCAACCCTCTCTAATTGAACCATTCATTTCTGAAATTCCAGCTTGGATCCACATTTCCTGGAAGCATCCTCTGATGTTTTCCCACCACCCAATCTGCTCAGGAACACTTCCCTCTGGCACCAGGAATTCCACTATTATAGATAATTTTATGCCTTACTGTGTATTTGTCAAAGTCTCCAACTGTACTGTAAGCTTCAAGAGGGTCATTTACCAAGCTCATCAATATATCTCAAGGGCCTAGTGCTGTACCTAGCACATAGCATGTACTCAATAAATATTTACTGAGGAATGAATTTCCTGGTAGAGTACGTTTTTTTTTTTAATTTTATTATGTTATGTTAGTCACCATACATCATTAGTTTTTGATGTAGTGATCCACGATTCATGGTTTTCGTGTAACACCCAGTGCTCCATGCAGAACGTGCCCTCCTTAATACCCATCACCAGGCTAACCCATCCCTCTCCCCTCCCCTCTAGAACCCTCAGTTTCTCAGAGTCCATAGTCTCTCATGGTTCGTCTGTCCCTCCGATTGCCCCTTCATTTTTCCCTTCCTTCTCCTAATGTCCTCCATGCTCTTCCTTATGTTCCACAGATAAGTGAAACCATATGATAATTGACTTTCTCTGCTTGACTTATTTCACCCTGGCAGAGTACTTGATTAAAAAACTAATTTTGCCATGGAGCCTCGCGGGCTCAGTCAGTTAAACATCCGATTCTTGATTCTGGCTCAGGCTATGATCTCAGGGTTGTGGGATAGAGCCCTGAGTGGGGCTCTGTGCTCAGCAGGGAACCTGTTTGAGATTCCCTCCCTCTCCCTTTTCCCCTGCCCCTCCCCTACCCTGCTCGCACACATGTGCTAATATAAATAAATAAATCTTATAAAAAAAAAAACAACTAATTTTGCCCTGAAACTAAATCCATTAATAAGAGATGCTGTAATTCATTTTCAGACTCACTGAAATAGTTCTCACAAACATCAAAGAAACAGAAAAATCGCTAATACTAAAAGGGTACAGATGCTGCTGACTTAGAAAGTGCCTTTGAATCTAGTAAGTGCTCATGAATGCTTGAATAATTTAAATAAAAATTATAAATAATTTAAATCCAAATTGTAAAAATAAGAATTTTAAAAATTTGAAAAAAAGAAAAGGTAAACTAGGGACTAAATTCTACTGAGTGAAGTTATTAGGAAGATAATTAACAGGACTAAAGAAAACTCAAGATCCACAACTGCTACTCTTCCAGCTCTACTAAAAACTGTAAAATTTTGGGGCGCCTGGGTGGCTCAGTCGTTGAGCGCCTGCCTTCGGCTCAGGTCCCGATCCCAGGGTCGTGGGATAGAGCCCCACATCGGGCTCCCTGCTCAGCGGGAAGCCTGCTTCTCCCTCTCCCACTCCCCCTGCTTGTGTTCCCTCTCTCACTGTGTCTCTCTCTGTCAAATAAATAAATAAAATTTAAAAAAAATAAAAAAATAAAAATAAAAACCGTAAAATTTTATACACTATTAAAGACTGCATGAGCATGGACACGCTGAGTCTGTTTAGAACTTCACCTGGTTTGGACCTTTACCAATGCTTATATTAAATAAACTGTGTCCTTTTCACTTGACAAGCTGAAGGCATCAGAAGAAACGAAAATGCTAAAATAAAATGACTATATTCTAATCTATATTCTAATAATATTTTGAACATAAATATCACTTATAATAATTAACAAGGTTAAGCATATAGAGACATGTGATCAAGATGCATCTTATACAATTATTTAAAAGCAGTGGCCTAAACTTCTAAGAACATAGCACAGAATGTTACCAAGCTCTCTACTGAAATAGTCAGAAGGAAGAAAAGGAGAACAAAACTACATGGAATTTTTCTACCTAAACACATCAGTAAATTACAACCAAACTGAAATGGGTAAAAAAAAAAAAAAAAATCACTCTTTATAATAAACTAATGCTCAGAGTCATTCAGGATGGTCTAGTTCCCACTCCGCACAGACAGGGTGTACACTCTGTCAGTTTCATGACATAATCAGATACCACGCCACAGGTCAGGATGTAAAGGCACAAGCAAACCAAGACTGTGGAAACGGATATGGGAGAGCAAGCAGTAATGACAGAAGCTGCAGCCTGCTCTCTTTACAGGTAACAGGTAACTGAGCACCAAATGAAAGCCACATCCATGTGCAAAGACCGATCAGAGGCTTCGGCCTTTCTCAGCTCTGAGGTCTCCTCAGTAACAGGATTACAAGGAAATTTCCACAAAAGAAACATTTTCCATTGCAACAGATATTCTTAGCAGCATATTCACTAAAAAACTTTGTTATTCTGTTAGTAAAACAGAAAGTAAATGTGACCTACAGTTAAAGCATAACACTTAAAGCTTAAGACTGATCTCATTATTAGCAGACTTTATTTTACTCACCTCTGAATAAAAGGGTCAAAAGAGAAGACTGTTGTGAGAGGGCCATGCGCATGACCGGGTCAGCACACAGAACTTTCCTCAAGAGCGTGAGGCACGGCTGAATCAAACATTCTATGACCTGGCCAGAAGGGAAAACACAGGTATTTTACTATCATCACTTCTAAGGCGAGATAAAATATACTGTAATATTAACTTGTTCTAAATTTTATGCTTTTTCATCAAAACTGTATAAAACAAAAATGCAAATAAATATTAAGAATTATATTTTCCACTGAAAATAAGATTTGTATATACTTCTGCTTACACATCCTAAAAAATTTAACATTAGTTTTCCTTTAGGGAGACACCCCCCCTCTTAGAAATTAAAAATAAAGGGGGCCCCTGGGGGATGGGTTAGCCTGGTGATGGGTATTAAAGAGGGCACGTTCTGCGTGGAGCACGGGGTGTTATGCACAATGAATCATGGAACACTACATCAAGAACTAATGATGTAATGTATGGTGATTAACATACCAATAAAAAATAAAAAAAGGGGGGGGCACCTGGGTGGCTCAGTCAGTTAAGTGTCTGCCTTAAGCCCACGTCATGATCCCAGGGTCCTGCGATCGAGCCCCGCATCAGGCTCCCTGCTCAGCATGGAGCCTCCTTCTCCCTCTCCCACTCCCCCTGCTTGTGCTCTCTCTCTCTCAGTGTCAAATAAATAAAATCTTAAAAATAAATATATAAATAAATAAACAAACAAGGTACTTGGTGTTAATCAGGACTTAATCTCCAAGTACTTACCCGCATTCAGCTGAATTTAGTTTCAGATCTGATTAATAAAAATACCAATCTGTAAAAATGTCTAGATATACTGTTAGTCTTACCTCACCATCCTGGCCTACACATTCATTCAAATACTCAATTATCTTGTCAATTAAGTGTAACTTTTTCACCACAGCATGCATTTTAATATCTGTAGACAAAAAAAAAAAAAAGAAGTCACTAAGAGTTAAAGAATATTTTTGTAGTTTTAAAAATACAGAACAGATGGGCACCTGGGTGGCTCAGTTGGTTGAGCGTCTGCCTTCGGCTCAGGTCATGATCCTGGAGTCCCGGGATCAAGTCCCGCATCGGGCTCCCTGCTCGGCGGGGAGTCTGCTTCTCCCTCTGACCCTCCCCCTCTCGTGCTCTCTCTCTCTCTCATTCTCTCTCTCAAACAAATAAATAAAATCTTTAAAAAAAAAAATACAGAGCAGGTATCCACAACTCAAACTATTAAAAATAGTTACACCTGGTGTTGAAATTAGAAGAGGAAACTTTAAACTTTTACTTTATACATCTGAACTATTTGAAAACTTTTAAGTAACAAGCACATCTTACTTATTTCTACAATGTAAAATTCAAAAGCTATTAAAAAAGAATAATTAAATCAAATAGTTTCAGACCCTGAAAACTACTAGAATTGTAAGTATACATGAATTCTTTTATTTGTACATGACAAGTTAATTTCTTTATATTGTTCACTGACAATTCTCTTTTCCAAATCCATCACCTCAAAATGTTTAGAATTATCTATAAGTAATGTTAATAGCTTGCAACATGGTCATTTTTCTGCGAATAAAAACTCAGATTTCAGAATTGCCTGGCTGGCTTAGCCAGTAGAGCACATGACTCTTGATCTCATGAGTGTGAGCCCCACACTGGGTGCTAAGCTTACCAAATAAATAAATAAACAAACAAATAAATAAATAAAATTTAGATTTCTAACCTCAAAACTGTCAAAAGCAAATATAAAGGGTAAGGGATTATAACATACTCTACATTTGAAAAATACGAACTTTTTAAATAAGCATATATACGTGACTGTGTGTGTATGTGTATGTGTGTGTGTGCATGTGTGAGCGTGTGAGTGTGTATGTGTGTGTATATTCACTGCTATGGGCTGTTTATGTTGCCCCAAAATTCATTTGCTGAAACCTAATCTCCAGTGAGATGATATGAGGAGGTGGGGCCTTTGGAGGCGATTAGGTCATGACAGTGGAGCCCTGCAGCAGGGGATTAGTGCCCTTGTGAATGAGGCCTCTTCTCCCTCTGAGGACACAGGGAAAGACAGCTGTCTCTGAACCAGGAAGCTCGCTCTCACTAGACACTGAACCTGTGGGCACCTTGATCTTGGACTTCCAACCTCCAGAACCATGAGAAATAAATTTCCACTGTTCATAAGCTACCCAGTCTGTGGTACTCTCTTAGTGCAGCCTGAATATAGTAAGACATACGTGCATACACACACACACACACACATACTATTGATATTACTAGCAACAAAATCTCTAGTTGCTTATAGATTAGTTATATGTATAACTATAGTTATATAGTTATAAGAACTTATAACTTACAGTTATAAGTTCGCAGACAAATTTTCTTACCTTGTTCTCCCATAACTCTCATTGAGAATATACATATATACAATGAGAAAAACACACAAATACACATATTGATATTGAATTAGTAGCTATGACTAGAACTACCTTTGGCTGCCACTTTAAAAAAAAAAAAGTTTCCACTACCTGCCAATACAGAGTATACCAAAATTATAAGCTTTATTTTTGTAATTAAGGATACTGGAAGAATACTCTCTAAAAGAGTTTTATGATTTTCTTAGCCAAGGCTGTCCACATTTTCTAGAGCCTTATTTTCTGTAGTCTGTACCATTATTAAAGCCACAAATATGTTGGATATGCTTTTTCAAATTACTCTTCTCATCCCAGTTTCCACTAATGTCAGGGCAGGAACATTAAGTACATCCCATGTTCCAGGTTAGAATCTTTTTATGTAAGTGCAAAATTATCATTTCTCTCAAATATTAAAGATAAATGACATACATACATACAGGGAAAAAAAAAACTAACCCAAAGAATGGAAGCCTATGGAATAACAACACTGCAAATAAAGTTAGCAATGTATTTTACTAGCTGTTTTTTTTAAAATAAACCTTTAAAGAAAATACAAAGTTACAATGCCCTATTTTCATTTTATCTACCTACAGAGTACTGTTTGATTGATTTCTTACCCAAGATGGAACAAACTGAAAAAATCATGTACTACATAAATTAAGAAAGGAACATCCAGTTCACTATTAAAATTTTAAAAATATTTTAGAAGGAAGATAATTCTATCAAATGACATTCTACAGGTTAAATAATGGTAATCTTGACTAGGGGTCAGCATATTTTTACTGAAAAGAACTAGATAGAAAATATGGTATATTTTGTTGGTCACAAATTGTTTTTGTCACATATTCTTTGTTTCTTTTCTTAATAACTCTTTAAAAATGTTAAAACCAGGGCATCTGAGTGGCTCGGTCCATTAACCATCTGCCTTTGGCGGAGGTCATGATCCAGGGGTCCTGGGATCCAGCCCCCATGTTGGGCTCCCTGCTCAGCAGGGAGCTACTTCTGCCTCTCCCTCTACCCCTCTCCCTGCTTGTGCTCTCTCTGTCTCTCTCTCTCAAATAAATAAAATTTTTTAAAATTAAAAAAAAAATAGGGGTGCTTGGGTGGCTCAGTCGTTAGGCGTCTGCCTTCGGCTCAGGTCGTGGGATCGAGCCCCACATAGGGTTCCCTGCTCAGCAGGAAGCCTGTCTCTCCCTCTCCCACTCCCCCTGCTTGTGTTCCCGCTCTCGCTGTGTCTCTGTCAGATAAATAAATAAAATATTTTTTAAAAAAAATTTTTTTAAATAAAAATGTTAAAACCATTTTTAAGGGCTATAAAAAAAAAAAAAGCAAAAACAAAAACAGGCCATAGCCTATATCTGGCCCCCAAAACTGCAGTTTGCAACTCCTGATACCATTGCAAATAGCTATCTAAAATTCAATTACCAGCACTACAGAAATCATTTTCCTTAAAAGACATTACCTTGCATAATCACAGCTAACTGTTCTGCAGCTGACTTTCTCAAAACAAGATCGATATCATCTGAGGTAAAGATTTCATAAACCTTTTCAACAGTCTCCAACTGAAAACCAGAAAAAAAAAAAAGAAATTGTTTTCATCTACTTCCAATTGTCCAATAAAATTGTATAATTCATACCATAAGAACAAAAGCTCCAAAGTCCACTTACTTAAGTGATATATTTATGTGTAAATGTGTAGCAATGATGTGCTATGTCAGGGAAAACTTAGGATCTAAAACAAAGAGCCATCATGTCAAATAAGCCTTCCTTTTTAAGATTATATTTGTGCCAGGAAGTCATTCATAATTCATTAGCACCTTAAAAACTTCACAGAAAACCAAGCTACCTAACATCTCTACAGGTAGTCGCCTAAGAATAGTGACCCCAGACATGTGACTCCATATTCTCCACGGCTCCCAGAAGCCACCAGCTAGAATTCCCCAGCCCTCTGCCTTTCCTCCCTCTTAGAAGCACATGGCTCTCTACTAGGACTTGCTGCCCAGCGCTCCAACACGGCCACTCCCAATACCAGTCCCCAACTGTCACCTCACGCCAGGACAGGGTCTGAGGTGGCAAACCCAAAGTGAAGGGGGAGACGAAAAGGACAAAGACAACATTCCCCCTCCCCCCGCACTGCTAACTTCTGGCCCTAACATGACTCGCAAAGACAGTGCTAGAACCCTTCCTCCCCGCCTTCCTCCACATCACTCACAGGGCACAGGAGCAACTACCAGTGGTCAGTACTCAGGGAGTCCCCAGCAGGACGCAACACGTAGTCAGGGGAAGGTTCACCAATCCTCCTGCTGGGGCTTGTCACATGGCCCTGAACACTTAGATTAGAAGAACATTTAAAAAATCCATCGTATTATCTGGGGCTGTACAATACCACCACAGGCTTTGGGGGGGTTGGTCTAAACTTCAATAAAAACTGATAGACTGTACCCTTAAAGTCACAAGAGAAGCTATAAAGAATAGGAATGAATCAATAAAGATAACAAATAGTTTTTCTTTATCTAACCTTGCATTGGTCCAGGATGATTTGGGTATGGTCCTGGCTAAAGATAGGAAAATGGATGATATGCCTCTGGAGGTATATAAGAAGCCAATGATTTAGAAAAGAGATTAACGACAAAATCCCAGAACCACTGTAACACTTAAGAGAAACCACCTTTGACACCTATATTATTTTTTGCCTCTCATAATGAAGAGGCTGATAACTTGTGTCATAGGAACTTTCTTCTTTTTCCTTATAGGCTGTTTCCAACATAAGAACAAGAATTTCCAATAGTTTTTATGTCAGTAATATTTGTTTTTAAGAGTGACCATAGAATTTCTTTCCACTACATTAATCTTATATTGTATTTAAGATGCAATTCAAATTAATTTGCATTTCCACTATATATATTAAATGAAAGGGATATAATGCCTGGCATATAGTAGGCACCCAAGAAATATTTATTCAATAAATAAATGTATCCAGAAGCCAGACAAAGCCAGAACATAATTTCAAACTAGCCATGAATAACCACACTTGAAGCCAGCTAGTACTTCTCTTCCTCTCAGATGCACACACAAACTAAAGAATGTAACATAAAATATGTAATATACAAATGTATCAAGTATCCATGAAATAATAAACCCAACAGT